AGTGCGGTGTGGTGGGCGGATGCTGGGTTGGGGGGGGGGGGGGGGGGTCAGGATACCTGGGTTCTATTTGGTGCTCTGCCAGGGGTCACTTCAGCTGAATCCCTGTGACCTTTGTGTACCTCAGTTTCCCCTATACCCTCTTTCCTTTCTTTACAAGCTTAGGAGCAGGGATCACGTCTGTGTGGGTGCGGTGCCTGGTGTTTCATAGTTTCTAGGGTCGGAAGGGACCTGGGCAGATCATCTAGTCTGACCCCCTGCCATGGCAGGAAAGAGTACTGGGGGTCAAACGACCCCAGCAAGATGGTCATCTAACCTCCTTTTAAAAACCCCCAGGGTGGGAGCCTGCATCACCTCACTTGGAAGCTGGTTCCAGACCCTAGCCGCCCTGACCGTGAAGTAGCGCCTCCTGATGTCCAACTTAAACCTACCCTCCGCCAGCTTGTGTGTGGTTGCAGGGGGCGGTATTTATAATTTCTACGTATAGGTAGCACGTTTCTCTTGGTTGGGGTCTGCGTAATGCCTGGCAGGGTGGCAGGGGTGGGTGTTCCTGATCTCAGGTGAGGGCTGTGTACAGCAGCCGATCTCGGACAGGGGAGCCTGTATGACACAGAAGGAAGTAGGGGCTGATCTCAGCTGGGGTCTGTGCAGAAATGCTGGATAATCATATACAGTTAGGCTGGGGGGCTGGGAAAGCCAGGTGCCCTGTGCCCTCAGTGTGGCTAAGTGGGAAGAGCTGTGGCTTTCTTCCCAGACTGGATGCATGAGCTTCCCCTCAGAGAATTACTTGGCTGTGAATTGGTGCGTTTCACTTCCCAAACCCCTCCCTGCTGTCTGCTGCTTGACCCTTAAGAACAGACTTAGATGTGCCAGGGGCCACCTCCTTGGCCTGGTATGCCTCAGCTTTCCTTGTCTTGCCCAAGTCTTCCCATCCCTTAGCAGAGGGGATTCTGGCAGCTAGAAGAAACACATCCTTGTCTGGTTGTGTGCTCAGAAAAGATAAAGTTCCCCCCATTCCTTAGAAGAGGCCCACCTGTATGATCAAATACTGTGAAATTACACTTCCCTTGACCATAAGTAAAGATGACAAAAAAGTTTATTATGAAAGCAATAGCAGACAGAAGAAATCAGTAACATATATATGAATAAACACCGGGAAGATAATATCCAAATAGTAATATGATGTTCCCCTGCAACTGAAATCCATGACTGCATCTTCAAGTCCCACTAGCTGACGGACCAAAGAATCTCCTGCTCAGGAAGCTTTAGACAAAAGGGCCAGAGGTTATGTCCTTTACAAACGGCCCCCCAGCACTCCCCACCCCAGAGATGGTTGCATTTCAGTGCCAACCCCTGTTCCTGTATAACTGGCCTCTATGCCTCACCTTAGAGGCAGCTGCATCTCAATGCTGGGTCGCTGTAATCCCTGTAACTAATCCCAGTGGTGGTTGTGTCTCAACACTAGGGGAAGGGCCCCCGTGTCAACATACAGCCACCTCTTGGGTGAGGCATGGTGAATCTCAACACCCGTATCACCTACATCTCCCTATATCACCAGAGGGTGCCCTGCCTCTGCAGCCCCAGAGGCTGAGTGGGCATCTTCCTGGCCTCAGAGGCCTTTAGCAAGGACCGTTTGGAAGCAGGAGGGAAGGTAGCTTCAGAGTTTGGGGTTGGGGCGCCTGGGTAAATATCTTGCTGGAAGATCTCCTGGGCTTCCTCCCTTGGTCTGTGCCAGGTAGACCCTCCCCTGTGGCACAGCTGTTTCAGCCTGCTTTGGGGGTGGGAGAGCTATACCAAGACCTGCTACACTGTTAGTCCCTTCCCATTCTGGACAAGCTAATGGGTGCCAATACAGGTTGTGCGGGGTGTGACCCTGCACACTTCCCACACTGTGCCTTGGAGCAGGGATATGGTTTGGAAGCAACTGAGAATCACAGGATTAAAGTTAGCACCCTTCAATGCAGGTCTCTGGGCTTGAAATGGGGTGGGGGCATCAGGCCTGTCTTAACCTAACCTGGGTGAAGGAGGGTGAGCTGTATGTTACAAATAGTGTTGAGGAGAGGGGGATGACCTTTGGGGCCATGCTTTCAGCAAACTGTTTAATTGTTGGTTTCTGCTGGCTCCATTCTTGTTTTTGTTATTTTGTCAGTTCCCCAGTGGGCCCTGCTCCCTTCCTAGAGCTGGGGACATAACCCAGGAGTCTTGGTTCCCAGCCCCCACCTGCTGCTCTAATCCATCTGAGATGAATTAATTTTCCAAAGCTGGGATAGAACCCAGGAGTCTTGACTCACAGGCCTCGTGTGCTGCTGTAACCCCTCAGATCTCCAGAGCCCACTCCCCTCCCAGAGCTGGGATAGAACCTGGGCTCCTGGCTTCCCAAGTTTGCTGTTGGTGGTGGATGTGTGTCTATCACATCCCTCTCACTCCCTCCCCTCCATTCCCAGCCAGCACCTGTGCTTTAGGCCTGAAAACTTGCAGGTGCGTGGGTTGTGCTGTGAGCTCAGGTCATGGTTGGGGGCATGGCTGTTGGAGGTTATTTATAAATGGGGGGAGGGGGCTGGAAGCAGGGTGCCAGGGTTCTCAGCTTGGGAAGGGATATGGCATGGCTGAGGAACCAGCCAGATAAGGATATCTGGAGAAGGAAGGGGGTTATATCTGGTTTTCCCTCCATTCCAGTCTGTTTAGCTGCAATCCCTGAGGGGTTTTGCTGTGCTAGAGCCTGCCACCAGGTCACTGGGCAGGTAGTTATCCCTTGCTGCCTCCCCCTGCCTGCTGCCCACTCACTGCCAAGCCTCCAGGCCAGTGCTTCACGGGAAAGGGCTGGGCCTGGGGGAGCCCAGTGAGGGACGCCGGACTATGGGGCAGGGGTCTCAGAGAGGGCACCACGTTGGGGGTGGAACAAGGGGCTCAGCAGGGGATACCAGGCTGCTGGGAACGTTGTATGATGCTCATATTATCTCATATATCATCCCCCAGAGGTGGCCACATCTCAGGCCTGTCCATCAGGTCCCCATCTAATTAGTCTCACCCCAGAGGCAGCTGTATCTCAGCAAGGCATAGTGTGCTGGGTGAGGAGGGGCTTTGAATGGACCCTCAGCTGGTAAATGCTGCTGGGAAAAGAGGAGCATGGACATCAATGTTGCTCAGACTTTTTGCCTCATGGGCCAGATAGGCAGTGCCCAGTCCATCCATGGGCCAGATTCCACTAGCAGCCCCAATCCAATGCGCAGACTGGGCATGGTGGGGCTTGATCTAACCATTTAGAGCAGGGCAGGGGGCATCCCAGCCCATCCAGCAGCACAGGGGTAAGGGGTTGTTGCCTGGTCTGGCCCTGATCTGGCTGTGCGGGGCTTGGAAATTTAGCAGTGCAGCAGGTCTGTGACCAAATTTCCCAACCTGTAGGGATCCCCACAGGCCAGATACTATGGCTTTGTGGGCTCAGCTTGGCCTGTGGACCAGGGGTTGAGCACCCCTTGTCTATGTTAACCTGGGAGCTGCTGTGACTTTGGTTCAGGTCAGTCTAGGCCCACTCAGGGCTGTGAATGCTGACCCATCTGTATTTTGGGACCTCCTCACAGGCCAGGCAGCAGGGAGCAGCATGGTCCTGGAGGTACCATGGGGTCAACCCGGGTGACGGCAAAGGAGCTGTGTGAAAATGATGACCTCGCTACCAGCCTGGTGCTGGATTCCTACCTCGGCTTCAAGACCCACAAGATGAATGTCAGGTGAGTGGAGAGGAGGGCACTGGCTGGGACCATGGATCCAGGGTGAGGAGGACTAGCCGGGGGCTGCAGAATGGGAGGGAGGAGCACTGGCTGGGGCTAGGGGGTGCCTAGAGTGGAGCTGGCTGAGGCTGGGAGGTCAGTGTACCCAGAGTACCCATGTCTCCTTTCCCTGCAGCCCGCTCCCTGCTATCCGGAGGCAGCATCACCTGCGGGAGGCAGTAGAAGCCTTTCGCCGACGCCGGGACTTGGAGGCTGCGTACCGGGCCCTGATGCTGGGCGATTGGTCCTGTCAGTACTTCCAGAACCGGAGCTGCCAGCAGGAGGCTGCACTCAAGATTCATGTAATTCTCCATGTCTGGGCTCTATCCCAGCTTAGGGAAGGGAGTGGGTTTGAGCAGCGGGGGGGCTGGGAGCTTGGATGCCTGGGTTCTGTTGCAGCTCTGGGAGGGAGTGGTGGGGGCTGGTGAATTAGGGCAGGGGGTTGGGAGTTGGGATGCCTGGATTTTGTTCTGTGATTGGAGTCTCTCAATCCTTCCCCCCAGATATTCCGCTACCTCCGCATCTTCCTGCCCGAGAGTGGCTTCACGATCCTGCCCTGCAGCCGCCCCC